GAAGAAAGTTATGAATCTTTTTTCAATACAATGGATCCAGGCAGCAATTAAAATCGTAATATTAATATCAATTTGATAAAATCCTTGTTTGCTTAGCTTTTTAAGCAAAAAATTTTATCACAAAATTCTGTTAACTTTATAATATCAATCAATCAAAAATTTTGTTTCATACATTTTGTTAAATTAAATTTTCAGCATAAATTTATCAAGAAATTTCTCTTTCATTAAATGATAGATTTGTACCGATGAATATTCCACGAGGTCATAGGAAGATGAGCAATGGAATGAGAGGAAGATGATGACGATGACGAGGAAGGATCTTTTGAAGGGTCAATTTGATATGAGAATGAAGAATTTGATATGAGAGAAGATAAGCAGAAGAAAAGAAAGAGGATATGAATGTAACGATGAATTAAAACAATGAAAGAGAAATTTCAATCAGTTTAATTGATTTATCATTTCATTGATTTTACTAAGCAAAATTTTGTTATTTTTATCACAGTAACACAATTCTTCCTTCCATTTTCTCTGCCGTCCAAGGTAGGGTGAAAGTAATTTTGCCGAAGGGTATATGTTTAGAGAGAGATATCAAATGTCACATTTCGTTAGTATATGTCATGTGTACTGATGAAGAGAAGAGGTCAGGAAGACGAACTGTCACCAATTAATTTTATTCATTATAATAATCTCTGTGATGAGAACTGATCATTAATTCAGTCATTATCATTATTTTTCATTTGTTTTGTCCTTCTGGTATGTGATGATGATGATGATTGTACTCTGAGAACTGTAGAAATTTGTCATTTCTCAAAGAGTTTTATGATGATGAAAGAGAAGAAAGTGTTGATTGGAGGACGATTTAATCATGAAAAGTTTCGCGTCTCCTTATCAAACAAGCAAAATGATTATGATTGGAATCATCATTACAGCAATTTTCTTGGAATTGATCATTTTTCAACAGCGATACATAACACAAACAAACATACTCATATTTGCAAACACACACACACATACACACATACGCATACATACACATACACACATACACATACACACATACA